GCTCTCTGATTGGTCTAGACGCCTTTTCCTGAGATGTACCTCAGAGTGCCTTCACCTCATATAGGGTTTATTCGGGATTTCCCTCTTGACCAACCATAGATTATTTTTACAGCTTTTTCGACCAATCAGATTGCATGATTCAAAGCATGTGTCGGTGTGAATGTAAACATGTCAGACGCCATTACGAAGGAAATTTAACACTTTTGAAAGTAATTGGTTGAGTATTTATTGTTTAATAATAATGTTTTTAATTTCAAACTACTATTTGTTAAGCTGTTGAAGTATATCAACATGTAAAAAAGTGTTGTTACACCCTACATTATATTATGGATGTTTATATTTGATGGACACAAGAATGAAAGTGTCAAAAGTTTTGTAAAATTCCTAATCATTTAATAAAACGGTTATTGACTTTTGAATTTGGTCTACTCATGACTTCGGCCTCGGTCAACTAATACCTGATCAGATCCGTATATATAGTCACGAGTAGACCTCATCAAAAGTCAATAATTGTATAAAGTACTATCATACCTATCTAATTCACATTAGAAAATATAATGAAGGGTTGCTTTTTAAATTCGAAATTCTAACATCTGAATATCACATTGCCTGATTTTCTGTGCTAGTAACAATAAATTGCATACATCTTTCACGTGCTAACAAGCAAGCTACATGATAAACGTGATGACTTTAACGTGTCTATCGTCAGCTTATGCAGCAATAAACCTCCATTATGTACATACGGAGTATATATATTCTCAGTTGATTCAATACGCAAGAGCATGCTCTACGTATGAACAATTTCTAAAACAAAGTACATTACTGACAAACAAGTTGATGAAATAAAAATATCAGCAGTCTCGTTTAAAGTCATCATTTCGTAAGTTCTATGGCCGATACAATGACCTTGTCAGCAAATACAATTTATCATTGAGTCAAATCCTGACGGACGTTTTTCATACTAATTGTTAGTTCATTATTTATACACTGAATTGACGACGGATTTTTCCGTTATTTCCCGATCATGACAAGAAGCACACGGCGGGTGTATCCGGTCAGCAGGAATGCTCACACCTCCAGGGCACCTGATCCAACCTCTGATGTTTCGGAGGTCCGTGTTTGCTCTGCTCCTCATTTGTATTGTTTTATGGACTTTGAGATTGAATACTGTTGGTTATCTCAAAATCCTTCTACCGGCGATCGTACCCGGCTGACCACCACATTTCTCCCCAGCAGAGATATCTATCTACCGGCGATCGTACCCGTCTGACCGCCACATTCCTATCAAACAGAGATATCTAACTACCGGCGATCGTACCCAGCTGACCGCCACATTCCTACCAACAGAGATATCTAACTACCGGCGATCGTACAAAGCTGACCGCTACATTCCTGCCTCTTTAATAGTCTTTTCCCGTTCTCCAAAGACACCAACCCAGGCTTCTCCCTGGGAGGCCTCTCAGCCTCTCAAATGACGCCTTCAAGACGCCCGCCAGACCAAAAGGTTGAAGCGACTGCTCTAGAATAGAGCTCTAGAGCTCGGAGTAAGTTTTAAAAAAAATATTTTCGGGTTTTATATATATTCATCAAAGTTTGGAACAATATAAAGCACATGTTCTGCTAATATTAAAATAAAATGATTTTAAAAAAAATTAACAAAATATATTTATGTGACAGGAAAAGGAAATTAAAAGGTTGCAATTGGCCTAGGAGTTGTATATACGATAATCTTAATAATAATTTTTTTTTATTATATTCCGCTATTTTACCAGTGATCGAAATTATATATCGGATTTACCCCAATTGATATCATTTCATATCCTACGTTCTTCGAAATCATATTTACTAGCTCTTAAATGGATTTGTTTTTATTGATGTTGAGGTGTTAAATGGGTGCGCATGGGCACAGATTTGAAGTTAACCTTTTTAGCAAAGTTGCGGTATAAAATCACGACTTATATGTTGCTATAGTATTCCATATTGAATTATAATGGAAAATGTACTTTATCAGGTAATTATAATCTAACTGTATAAAATTTTTTGACTTTAATCAATGAAATTTAGAGTAGAAGTGTATGAAAGATAAAAAAAAAACACCGCTGCAATATTGTCAGTCAGTCACAGTACAGTGATGTGTGCAGGGTTTAACAAAAAACGTAAATAACATTTCTTGTCCTGTTCACAAACCATTTTACGTTTCAATCCTTTTGTGCTCAATCCATTATTACGTCATAATCACTTTCAAGTTTGTTTTTCCCGTACTTTACGACTTTAGCAGAATTAAGTAGAAAATAGGGTAATTCATTGCATTGGTATAACGTCATGACTTTGGTATTAAATATACTGTAACGGTATGAAGTTAACATTATTTAACGAGGTAACTTCTGATATTTAAAGTCTTAAACTTTTTTATCAAGTATATTTTTAGTTTCTATACACATAGCTTAATCGAAAATCAAATAAAAAATGGGGTCATTGTTAATTTTGGCGCTATAGTACATTAAAATGACCTTTTTTTCACTGACATTTGTGTCTTCATTAAAAATTACATTTTCTACATTTCCTCACCAATGTTTTTATCCAGATAAAGCATGGAACAAAATGAATCATAAATCTATTTTAAAAAGACATTTAAAAATTGTGACTAAGAAAAAGTTTCATATTACTTCGCAATTATCAATTATTTGACCTTTCTGCAATCACAAAATATAATTTTTCTGGCATTGAAAATATAGTAAGCAATAAAATTCATTTAAAGTCTTAAACTTTTGCTGAATTTACCATTATCTTAAATATTCAAAAAAGAACATCAAAACTAGGGTTATATGATGTACATTTATAGATACATTGTATTACTTAAAAGTGTCAATTTTATGTTAAAATTGACTCATGTTTTTTCAGGACTTTTGAATATATTTACTATATTTTCACAATTTGTTGAAAGAATTCATAAAAAATAATTTGAGTATATGTTGATAAACTTTTCCCGGGGAAAATGATTGACAAATAATTTGCTGAAACAAAGATATCAGTAGTCTTGTTTTAAGTCATCATTTCTTTTGTAGCATTTTTTTTTCACAAAGTGTCTCGCAGCTTTCCTAGCTGTGACCTTCTTCTTTAAGATATCTTCACACAATTTTTATATTTTCAAATTCTTTAGCTAAATGATCGTGTTTGTTATAATGAAAGCAAATTCCTTTGCTTGTGAGTTAATGATAACATTTTTACTCGGGGTGAACAGATTCTCCGCAATAAGGTCATTTCGTGCGAGTGTTCTCTGCTAAGATTCTGCCCTCATGATCTCCAAATTTTATCTTGTTTGGTGGAGTAGGTGCACAGTTTAATATTTGCAAGTGTCATGTGCATTTTTATTTAAAAAAAAAAGCTGTGTTATTAATAGTGCCATGTCTGATGCTGCCTACTGCTGCATGTACGTTGTAATGAAATTGCATCATATTTATAGTCATGAAAGAGTCTGATAGTTTAATAGGGGCATCTTTAATTGTCACATTTGTTTGACAGGCTCGAACAACGATACCGTTTAATTATATTTTACTGTTACCCCACACATTAACGTTTTTTTTCTTTTGTTTGCCCACCTTTTAGCGGGATACAGTCTTTCGCTGTAACTTGAGTTGGTTTTACGTTTTCAATATCAATCTTTTCTTTTACACTCTCTAGTACATCTTTGTGAGTTACAGCCTAGTTAAACTTTGTCGAAAAGTGTTTTGACAGATTTTCTGAACCTTCTGCATACCGCGTATTGCTGAGTATTGTTCAGTTAGGTTCACTAACTACTATCTGTTTTGATTTTCAATGTTCAAGATAAGATAATTTGATACTTACAGTTAGTTGTATTTAGATGCGGCAGATGAACCACAACACTTAATTACACTAATTGAACAGCATACATCGTTCCAGACAAGGAAAAAATAAGCAAATAAATTCAAAATACTCGGAGCGACCAGAAAAGTCTGTCGCCCATGACAAGGGCCATAACTCGACTCTTAAGAGGACTTCAATCGTCTACTCCCATACTAATACAGCAATATACCTTCATCACCTACACACGGGGCTCATATTAAGTAACCTGTACACAAGACCGCATGCTCTACGTATGTGTAATTTCCAAAACAAGGTATGTTGTTGACAACAAGTTGATGAAACAAATTAAAATTTTGGCAGTCTCGTATAAAGTCATCATTTCGTAATTTCTAAGGACGTTACAAAAACCTTATCAGCAAATACATTATTTCGTTAAGAATCCCCTCTACACTGCACACTAAAGAACTATAATTCTATTGCATTTTTCTGCAGTAAGAGTTATCTACACTTCAATCTTAATTCCAATACATAAATAGAAATTTACAGTATATTATTGATGTTTCTTAATAATTCAAGTATTTTTAGAATTTTAAAGGGCCAAGATAATAAATAAATTGAACGTGCTATTTACATGTGTGTTCTCTGTATGGTAGAAAACAATAGTTATTTCTGCTCACTTATACTGTGTTGTGTTTGAACCTTTTTCCTGGGGGGGGGGGGGGGTAAATCTTCCAAAAATTATTTTGCAAGGTGTAGAGAGGTTCCTTAAGTTAATTGCTGACTGATGTTTTTCATACTAATTATTAGGCATTATTTATATACTGACTGTCCAATGTTTTATCCTTATCTACTAAAAGCACACAGCATGTGAGACCGATCGGCAGGGGATGCTTACTGTCCAATAACATCTTTTTCCACCTCTGTTTTTTTGTGTTTTTTCTGCTCCTTTTTGTATAGTTTTATGGACTTTTTGAGCTTGAATACTGTTCGATATCTCTATACATCCTTACAATTCCGCAGGTAAAACTATGAATTTTATTTAAAGTTATCTTAAGTTTGTAAATGACAAACAGAAACAAAGTCAAAATACATGCAATTGTTATTTAATTTCTTTATTAATATCACAGTCACACAACAAAAAGAAAAGGAAATGCAAAATTTCTTTCATTTGTAGGAGAGTATTTCTAATTTAAAGAAAATAAATAAATAAATTATAATAAAATAAATAGCATATTTTTATGCATTAATAATATAAACTTGTTAAGAAAAAAAAATTATTAAAGCTTGAAAAATCACACATATCGTTTAATGTCACAATGAAAACAGAAGGCATCTTCACTATTTCGTTACCAATTTTGTTTTTTTTTTTCATATGTGGTATCGTAGATATCTATTGGATTTTTAATCATCAATATGAATAGAGCCATTCTGGACATGGCCAATCCTCTTAACGCTTGCAGCAGGTATGCATTCTGTCGGAACCAATATAATCTCTTCAAATCTTAATGAGTTTTTTCTTGATCTTTCACTCATGAGGCGTGTTTCTCGGACGCTTGTGTCAGTGAGATCTATTTCCTCTAAATCGCTTCCCATGAGGGTGCGGTCAATTCGCACAATGTGCCTTAACTCGTGACGCAAGCTTCTCCGGATCATTCCGGCAAATAGCCTGATCTTGTCTAACGATTTAGAGCAGGAAATGAACTTTGACCTTATATTGCTACTAGAACCACTACGAACATGGTCTTCAAGGCTTGTACTGGAATGTCTATTTTTGGGGAAGATTCCATAATTATAAGTTTCTTCAGGTCGAAGTAACCTGTACAAATATTTTTCGGAATCGTCCTTATCTTTAGGGTCATTCCTGTCTTTAGTGCCATCATCATTTTTCTCCAAAGACCCACTGACCTCCTCCTTTCTTTCTGAGTGGTCGAGACTTTCAGGGGCTGGTCCGTTTTCTTCAATAACTATTTCTTTGACAATCAACGTTGATTCGCTTACATTTGTATCGCCATCTTTTTCAATATAAATGTCGTAATTTTTAGAAGACTCTTTTTCGCTCAGTATTTCTGAATCAAATGAGCCTTCATTGCATTTGGAGACTTGGCTGGCATCTCCTTGATTACTTACATATTCGTTCTCTTTGTTTTCTGGTACTTGCAGTTGTATTGAAATAGTAGTTTCTGGTTTGGAGACCATAGCACTTGAATTCTCATCCCAAAAGGAAATTGGGCTTGATTCTCTTGAGAGATTTTCAAACTGCTTTTCTATGTATTTTGGCGATTGTGCTTGATTTTTATTTTCATTTTCGAAGTTTTTTGTGCTGCTTACTTCAATTGGTATATAGGTTTTTTTGGAATCCTCTGCATGTTCAATGCAATTTCCATCTTTATCTTCTTTGACATCTATTAAGTTTGTCGAAGAAGTAGTTTCGGATCCAAAGGTTAATATTTCTACAGGATTAAATAATATTTCTTTACCGTGACTGGACTCGTCAACAGATTCATCTATTTCTCTAAAACAATCAGAATCCAAGTCGTCCTTATTTCCTCTTGCTTGCTGATCGTCATTTTCGGACTCGATTTTGATTGGCTGGGTTTCGAATACTTGTTGTTCGAGAGAAATTTCCTTTCCATGATAAATTGGAGGTTGTAGTGAACCATTCAGATCTGTGTCAGATTGAAGCTTCAGTTTCTTTGCTTCAAATTCACGTTCCTCATTGCAAGACCCTGTTGTTTAAATCATTTATTTAAATATCTAGACATTTCAAAGTACAAAAGAGATAAGAAAACTATATTTTTTTGAAATTGTAATTTAATGTTCTTTCAAGTACATCACAATGTCAAGAAAGATCGAAAAATTGCAATATACCGTTTCATAAATCGTATGTTTCAGAATAACCCCAACTTTATTGAGTCATACCTCAATATATTAAGTCTCCATGGTCTCATGTTACTTCCTCAAAAATCATTCGTATTATCTAATTTAATTTATATCATCCAAACAATATTATTCCTTAACTATATTTTTATTCATATACATACGCTTGCGTTTGTTCACCGCCGATTGTTGAGTGTCAAAATCCATATTGAGTCTTATGGTATCTGAAACATTGAAATAAAACAAATTCAAGGAGGACTCACATACCCAGTAATTTGTTATTAACACTCGTCGATTAAATTATTAGGTCTGAAGGCAGGATTTCTTGTATTTATGATAAAAACATGTTACTTTACCTGATGTAAAATTTGGCATTCAATAGTTCTTGCTCAAATAACTAGTGCAGTGTAGCAAGTTATGTTAATAATATTGGTAGATTTTATATGGCGGCTTCAGAGTTTTATTGCGTGGCAAAAGAGAGGAAATTCATATTTAAGATGAGTATTTAATTTAAATTCGTTACATAAGGTTTGAACAAATACCAATACCAGATGAAAAGAACCATTAACGGCTTAATAATCAAAATTATTTAAGGTATTTTTAATGTGCTTTTTTGTATTTATATTGCAATTATGCAAACATAACGAATAAAAGTATAAGCAGCATACAACAAAACCGCGAAAAAGGAAACTTTTAGCCCTCTTGATATACGTAACGTCCTAAAATTGAATTTCAATTATTTGAAATTAAAATTTTTGACATTTAATACAGATCGATATTTTATTAAATACAATTCATGTATTTATCACACAGCTTTCCTGAAGATGAAAACAAATTTTATCCAAGAGAAGGAATGTTAGGATTGTTCTTAAAAAATGTAAAAAAAAAAAAAAAAAAAAAAAATTATACTCGGTTACTCATATAAATTTACAACAATAAGTGCAAGGATTGACATTAAATTCACATATTAACTACCGGTATATCTCTACTTTTTTGTATTGATATAGCACTTTCACATGTACATTTATGGTAATTTCATCATAATATTGTATACACGTACATCAGATCTACTCACAATACTTAATTATACTTATAAAATGTGAAAAGTTGTTTTTAAGAGAAAAGACCAAAAAAGGGGGGTCAGCAAGAAAAAACAATTCTTTTATTACAGATAATAACACAAAGAATATATAAAATCTCTCATATAAGTTACATGGTATATATATACATGTATATGTAACTCTATTGCTTACAATACATCACAAATATTTTGCCAATGCCTTTCATATTCCTCATATCTACAACTCTTCATTAGTATACATTTTTCAATGAATATCTCTACTTTTTAATTAATTTTTCCATCTTTCTAAAATTTGTAATTAATTGTAAAAGATAGTGATGGAGTACCTACCTGTAAAGATGACGCGGTCTCTTCTAATTTTACCTAGATTTTATCTGATTAACAAATGTTTATATGGGATGATTTCAGTTACAAAGAAATTGAAGTGAAAGTACAGGTTAGAATACAGGAAACTGATTTCAGAAAGTACCCAGTGTTTAAAGGACAACCTTATGAAAAGATTGCATTTAAATCAATAGAATGGGCGTTTTTAAAAATACTTATTCGATTCCGTGATGTAAGTAGTATTGTAAAGGTCTGAAATTTGACAGAAGAGGAAAAATAGCACATTATGTGTAAGAAGTGTACGTAGGATGTAATTTTAATATTGTGAAAAAAATACAGATCACAATCCTATCAAAAGATAAAAAATGCACGTATCTCCTTATCTACATGTTTGTTATCTTGATATAACAGCCTTTTAAAAACCGTTGGAGATTTAAATATAACTTCGGGATTTTTCAAACCTATTAATAGATTTCCTTTAACAAGACGATTTAAAATATCTTACTTCTGAGAAAAAGTCCGTTGGATAACCATTATTTTAAATAACCCAATCTTAATAATTTTACTGCATTAGAAGAGGTTACCTTTTTCAATACCAACAAGCAATTAATCTACTGTATATTGACTAAAATATCAGCTCGTTTAGAAGGGAATTTATCAAGATTATTTAAAACAAATAAATACGAAAAAAGGGTTTTTTATGACGTTCCAATTAAAGTTTACAGCAAGGACAAATCAATACTTTCTACATGAAAATGAATGGGATTTTTGAAATATTGCTAATTAATCAATACCGTCGTCATATTTTGATAAGTGGATGACCCCGTTTTGAAAGTTCTTTATTTCTGATTGTAAACGACAAGAAAAATGGCCTTAGTTATTATATATATTTACATATATAAATGAACCTGTGTAAAGACGCAGGATGTTATATTGTGTTTCTCACTTTGAACGGCACTTTAAGGACAGATTATACAAACTAAAAATGGATGCCTATTTTGGTTTATACTTTTTTGGCCTAATTTCATTAAAATTGATGCAAATAATAAATTTCTAACAATAAAAAAGTAAAAATGTCGCGGTGAAACCAATTCATTTTACTCTTCCAAACATTTCTCAAGTAGTTATTTTCAAATTTTTGACTTTGACAAAAGTTTGTTTGTATCATCTGTCCTTAATCAAGTCATAAAACAGAGAATTCAAAACTTTAGTGAATTTACAAATCTTCGGAACAGATAAGTAATTTTGACAAAACGTTGTTTTTCGGGTCATCTTTACGGAGAAGAAGACATAGTATATTTTGTATGTTTATAGCGTACTCTAATTGACGACCCAGATACATATAATTTTTTAATACTAGTATTGGAAGCGATACCCATCGTATAGAAATTATAAAACAGAAGGTACACAGCCAAAAAATTATTCCAAAAATAGGAATTCTAATTACACTTACAGTTTATTATAATTACATGTTATTTAAAAGGAGAGGAAAACCAGATGACGCTCTGTAAAACAAAAGTAGAGGAATCATTTTGGACAATTTTACGTTACTTTAAATGATATTTCTATCATATGCTTATATTTTTTTTATCGGAAAGTTTTTCAACATTTATCATTTATAATTTTTAAAAAATATCTTGAAAGTAAAATGATATTTTGTATACGTTGATATTAAATTAAAAAGTAAATTCTTAAAAAGCAAATATATGATGAAGATAATAGTATAGTGATATTTCTCATTTTTATTGTGTATCCTTTTTGGAATGGAGCTTGTCCGTAAACATTTGAACCAAGGAACAGTATTATTGACTTTTACTTCATATTTATAATCATATATATATATTGGTTAATAATGTATTATCTCATTATTTGGAAACTGATTTCATATACTGTATACAGGGAAATTTTTGTCCCTGTATTATTTTCGCCCCTTTCACCCTTGTCACAAGTAGGTAAATTTAAAGGAGGGCGAATAAGAAGAGCACAATATAAATTTTAAAATAGAACTTTGACTGCGCGGATTTGAAAGGAACAAACTTTTTAGCATTTAAAAAAGGGCGAAAATATCACTATATACAACATTTCTTTTCCCTTTTAATTTTGTTTTTCATATTTGAAGTTCAATCGACATAAAAAATTACTTTGAGAAGTAGGGAAAATCCGAATTTTATTGACAAGATTACAGACCATATCTTATGCAAATAATGTTTTTGAAATTTTTTTTGCGATAATTTTCTTAAATCTAAATAAATAAATAAACTAAAATTGTATAAAGACAAGTTTTTCAAAGATATAAGACAGCCACTCATGCCTAAATCAAGATTAAATGAAAATTGCATTGCAGTATATAACAAACCGAAATCAGATTAAATTCTATTCTTCCAATCAATTACACCTTTTGATGAATTTACAAAACGGTAAGTTAAAGAAAAAAGATGAAAATATGAACCTCTAAAACATCAGAGGTCGGATGAGGTGCCATTAAGTAGTGAACATCCCCTGCTGACCGGTCACACCCGCCGTGTGCTCCTTGTCATGATCGGGAAATAAAAGAAAAATCTCGTAAATTCAGTGTATAAATAATGGACTAACAATAAATATGAAAAACGCCATGCAGTCAGCATTTAACTCAATTATAAATTGTATTTGCTGACAAGGTTGTATCGACCAAAGAACGTACGAAATTATGACTTTAAAAACGACTGAAAAAAACGAATAAAAAGAAAAGAAAGAAAGAAATAAGTACACAAATACATGCAAATATGTCGCATAAGAAATCCAATATACATGTAAATATTTGAAATATTAATTGGTCTTCATTATTAAACACTGGATGAACATGTCTGGTGAATATATCATCCTCAAACAAAGTTGGTCTATGTCTATATACATCTTCTTCGTTTTGGTAATTTATTGACGAATCCCCTCCATGATCAAATAAAGCTCCGATGTCCCTATCACTTATCCTTGACGACCTTGACCCTTCGTGGCGCCTCCGAGCGTGACTTGCATCTAATGGGGCCCATCCATAGTCATCTGATTTGTTTACCCAACTGACAAGCCCTTTTTCTACGACGAACTCTTCATCATCTGACCCTTTTTTGTATAAAATTGAAATTTATCTATAATATATTAATTTATAAAAATTAGATTTAGATCATTTCCATCAAGATATTGAAGATAGTGGTGAAAATGTACAATGCAATTGAGCATTAGTCAGATTTATTTTTTCTAAATATGAAATATAAGATTGGATGAACCATTTTATCACATAATGCACTAACAGTGAAATTAAAATAAATTGAAATGAATAAGACATCGATCGTCATTTGTTTTTTTTGAAAATTCTTTTGAAAATTAAACAAACGTTACACATTTTTAAAAAAAAAAAATGCAAACCTTTGCTTTGATTCTCGAAGGTTTTGAGAGAAACAGAATCCATTCTGTTGTTTGTTGCACCTGAAATATTTAAATAAAAAACAAAGACCTAACATATTTTTCCTTCTAAACGAAATGTCACAAATTTATTGTTTTAAACATATCACATCTCTGTCGGCTATATTTTTATCTCAAGAAGAGATAGGACTTAATGTCAGGTTATATGGTCTAAGCCTTGCGTTTAATTAATGAAATAAATTAATTATTTGTTTTAGAAACCAGTGTCTATATATTTCTCAATTTTTTGTCGACTGCTTCAGGAGTTTTCTTTTCATTCTTATGTTGTGTTTATTATAGAAAAGTAGAAATAATAATACTTTATCAGTCAAATATTGGACAAAGAGTACATATGATGAAAAATATCGGAATCTGCTTTATTTAAATACACCAGAGAGAGAGAGAGAGAGAGAG